TCCAACGATCTGCAGTCAACGTGGTTGATTGAAGACGGTCAGTGTAGTCGGGAGGCACGTGGGACAGTGCGGAAAGCCCATGGTTACAATTGTTCCCCCGTGACATTAGAGTTGAGCGAGCCTGCGTTGTGTTGCCTCGGGTTCACGAAATCATTCTGCGGGGTTCGCAGTGCCCCAACTATGTGTGAAGAGATTAAGTGCAGCAGTCAATTGAGCATGATGTTTTCTCGGCTTCGTTTTGGAGTGAGATTGTGTGATTTTGCTTTTGGATAGAGCCCCGAAACGAGTATGCTTTGTCTGTTGTAAGAACGAGGCGACTGCCTTAACCTCCGGCAACAATGAAGAAGTATGTGAATTATGCTTCAAATGTAACTTTGCCATTGACGACACTTTGTAGGTGACGGTTGGTAGGTTGGATGATCTGTCGAGAGGAGGTTGAGGTGTTGGCGATGCAGTTGTCTGCACAAGTTCATTCACGTTGGTGGCGTTGTGTTGGTGTATTGGAGGTGAACTATTGGCAATATGAGGTCGTGCCCTCGTCACTAGTTGATTTGAGCAGAAAATGTGTCACGTGAATTGTTGCTGTGTTTGAGTGATGTTGCCTTGTTGAGCGGTTGTGATTTCCCCCGGGGATTCCCTCCTGTGTTTTTGATCAGCGGTTGCAAGTGTTTAATCGTAAAAGAGCTGATTCCCCGGCACCTCTATGTGTTAGAGAAACTACTAGTGGTTGTCTGTTGGGTCGCTGGCGTCTTCTGCTAGTCCCACTTGGAGATCCACTGGTGTTTAGTGTGTGTTCGGTCACAGTTGATGTCGCTGTTTTTGGCGACGCTTCAAAACCCACTGTCACCTCGAACACAAGCATTCCGTGTCGTCTCGTCGATCCAGGAGTCCCAATCGTGGTTGTTAACTCCAAGCCCACAGGGACGGACGTCCACATCTCAAACGGAGCTCTGGATTATGTTGGCGACATCCACGTCCATGTTGGATGTACTGAACATCGTTCTCAAGTGCTCTTCCCTGACATTGGCGAAGGCAACTTCACTTGATGTAACGGCGTTCGTTCGGGCGCTGTAAATCAAGCGTCCCTATGTAAACTGACGACTCGTGTTTGGTGACCTTTCTCTTACTAACACACCAAACGGCTGACCAACAGTGCTTTAAATGGTGACTCCGGCATGAGCTTAATCTCCTTCTGTGAGGTGGCTGACGACAATCCTTCGGCGCGGCTAGAGACGCGTTCTACATTCACTCACATCCCGAAGAGCGATCACTTCAAGTGTACCACATCCACCACTGTAACGCTACTCCCTTGCCTTCCAACTCTCGTCTGGCGCGCCTCTGAAAGGATATAAGAGGACCAGAGCGTCTTCTGGCTATGCTGAACCATAGATCTACTTCAAAGATATTCGATCGATAGGAGGACGCCAATCCTCCGCCCAACTCTCAACCTGATCGATCGCTCCAACCCTACGGACAGGGACTGGAAGTTGTCAGTCTCATCTCTCTTCACTCTCGAATTTGTAGATTTCAACAAAGCATTGGGTCACGGATTTACTAGCGTCCAGCTCATATTAACTCCCTCGACACGCCTACATTCGCGACTCTTTCGTGGCTCGTCGTGGCTCTCGTTCGCGTATTCATGGTTTCCGATTCTGCACACTTCCAGTGCTTTGGCCAACCTGTCAGTGAGCTCAATAATCTCCGGACGACGCCCACTCATTGACAAAAATACATATTGGGAATCATGATTTGGCCTGATATCACCTCAGTGGCGCGGCTTCGTGTGACACCTCCACTCGCCCTGTCTCTGAAACACACGACCAACCTTGTAGACAGACATTCAATGTGAATAGGGGACTGGTGTGTCGCTAACCGAAGCACAATAATCACCCGATCGTCGACGCCGAACCTCAACTGAAACATGCATCTCGACCATCACCATCGTACAAAGGACATCCGCCGCAGTTGTGGCCGACCTTTTGGTTTTCAGGGTGGAAGAAAAGGATTGTCGATTTCCATCACATCCATGCTTCTACCAGACATGAGCGGACGCAGCGACGTCTCGTCACGCCTTAGTGTCGTGCTCTACCAAAACAATAAACAAGTTAACCGGGGTTCTTGGCTTTGGGTTGGACAGGAACAACATTAATAGTTCAACAGTTCCATCGGTAAAGGCGTCAGACGCATGGTGCTGGACGGGAACTTGTCGTCTGCGGCCCATGAGTGACTAAGACGGTGATTGCCGAACAGAGGAGGTCTCGTGTCTGTCGTTGAATTTTGCCGAATCTGACGTCGGGCCTTCACCGTCATCACTGCCCTGTCGTACTGCAGTTCTGTTTGTATTTTTAGTAATTAATGGTAATGTTTGTGTAAAACACCGACAACGTTTCACTTAAACAGTGTCACGCTCTTCCAACTACCGCTTTAACTGGATGTACTCAAACGCCTGGTGTTTCATGCATGTAGTAAAGTCGGTGCGGTAGATGAGTGCGCTGTGCCAGAATACGGCCTACAGGGTCGCAAACCGATAACGGGCGACTGCTATGAGCGTGTGTTCAGCTGGCTGCGTTGCTGTTGTTGGTTGGCGTTGATTGGTGCTGGGTGTGTAGGACGCCCATCCGTCACCTCTTCCGCTTGCTTCCTTGCCCGCGGTTAGTTGAGTGAGGTTGTTGTCTGCGATGAATATAAGATTGTGGTGAATCGCGATGATTCCCATTCGCCCGCTATGTCGCCACTGACCCACACACACCCCCGCCCAACCATCACTCCTGCCTAATCAAGCCCCAAAGCGCACACACCTCTAGTGCCGCACATTTCACCAATCGAAGCATTCCTGTATCTGGTACATTCAGACTAGTCTTGTCGTATCACACCTCAACG